CTTATTGGCTTATGAGCATCCAGCCGGCAGTGGGCACAGGCCACAAACCTCATCGTTTGATTTCAGATCAGCTCCACAAAATCTCATATATTATTATATTTCCCTTTTAGTTTAGCAAGAGGAAAGCAAAAACCACAGCCTCCTTCGGTAGTACCTTGTTTTAATGTTTAACTATCCATGGAGCCAGAAAGACTCTTTGTCTAACTAAATTCTATCAATGCCATTGAAGTACTTGTCCTAAGTTCTCTTTTTAAAAAATTGTGGCAAAATATACATAACATAAAATTTGCCAACTTAACCATTTTTAACTTAAGTCGTGTAAAGTGCATACATACTGTTAGGCAGTTGATCTTCAGAACCCTGAATCTCGCGAAACTAAAACTCTGTACCCATTAAGCAACAAATCCTTGTTCCTTCTCCCCATGACCCCTGGCAACCAACCTTCTACTTTCTGTCTCTATAAATTTGACTGCTCCATATGTATCATATAAGTGGAATCATACAATATTTGTCCCTTTGTGACTGGCATATTTCACTCAGCACAACGTCCTGTCTTCAAGGTTCGTCCATGTTGTAGCACGTGTCAAAATTTCATCCCCTTTTAAGACTGAATAATGTTCTATTGTATGCGTAAACCACATTTTTTAATCCATTCCTCCATTGATGGACACATGGGTTGTTTCCACCTTTTGGTTATTGTGAATTCTCTTTGCGTTCTTTGGAGAGAAAGAGAAAACGTGCAGAAACTACCTTGTAATAATCCTTAATTTGCTTGTGAAATCCCTTCTCATCCTTGTCTTCCTCAAGACAAAACAAATAAGCTTCTCTAATTTTTCCTTATAATTTTGTTTCTACCCATTTCCCCATCCCCACACCTACTGTAAATGTCTCTAAATCCTGTTCACTATTTAGAATTGAAGTCGGAACAGTCTACTATGCTTAGCCTGGAAATTAAGTCCTGCTAAGATCTACCCCTCCCACCATCCAGTTGAATTTCTCATTCCCCACTGTCAGCTGTTCTTTCTTCAGGCAAACCTCTTGTGTCTCCTCATTGCACACACTTTTGCCTGGTGTTTCTCCAAACTTTTATGATACAATATTGGAATAGACCTTTCACTACCCGTTCTGAGCCCAAGCCTTTACACAGAGCAGAGTCACAGCGTGGGCCTTATGCTGGTAAGGAAGAACACTTTCCAAGTTCTAGCTAGACACTTTGAAATGCATCGTTCTAAATTACATGTACATTTTGTTTTATGTGATAGATGAGCACTTTTTTGAATATGAAAACCCAAATTGCAATAAGAAAATATGTAAGGAAATTTAAAAGGAGATTGCAATTTAAGGAATCCTGTTGTGAGTCCTTTTGCAAAGCAATCACTCTCTACAACGTAAACTTCATTAAGATTCTCATTTGTCACTTCTTTCTTTTTGCAAAAAGTAGCTCTCAGGCAGCTTATAGTCAAACCTGACTCCCACCCCCACCCCATGCTACATCAGGCAGTTTTCCTCATCCTGCAGGTGACAGTCATTAATGTGTTTTTCTTTTGAAATCCTATTTTAGCTATTTCCTCATGAAACTCCTCTTCTTTTGGATAGCTCTTTTCCCTACTCTACTGAGATTATTTAAAATAAGGTATTTTTTCCCAGAGGCCTTACCAGTGTTTCCTCTGGCCCAGGACGATCTGTAGCTTCAGCCTCTGAGAAAGGCTTCTGAGCATCCCTCCTCCTCCCAGAGACAGGCCAAGCAGAAGCTCCCACGTGAAGTATGTTATCTCTATTTTACTGGCCAAAATTCAAGGAAAAGTAGTTAAAAGTCCAAGATTACAGGAAAGGAAACAGGAATGCTGACTTTTTTTTTTAATTATCAAATACTTCTTATCACTTCAGTGTTTTTGGTGTTTGCTTTTACAGCCCAAAACTTGTCCACACATTTGATCAGATTTCTTTTGCCGAGAAATCCCTACAATCCCTGGATAGATCTCCTGGCTTATCTTACACAAGTATAATCCACCCTTCCAAATCAGGTCGGCCCAGCCAACTTCTCTGTTCTATGACAGGGGTCACCCAGGGACGAGCTCTGTGCATGGCGTTGCATGGGTGGCAATGACAGTACATGCCTCCCTTGTGTCAACACCAAATTCTCTGGTCCTTCCGTACTCAGACCTTCAGGTATATTCAAGGGATGGGGAATGAAGTACATTAAAAGTTACTTCGAATAAGGAATTGAAAATTTCTTTCAAAAATAAAAAAAATCCAGCCACAGAAGTCAAATGTCTAATTATCACTTTCCCTTCCAAATAAAGCAAAGATAACCTGACTGAAATTACCAGAGAAAACAATAATAGGAGAAAACCCACATCATTAAAACTAAGGGAGACTCAGTGCCACCAGATTGCCACAAAGACTAAAGAATTTGTGCCAGATATACTGCAGACGGGAGCCCAGTATTGACAAATCGATTTATATGATGTCTGCAACTGACTTTAAAATAATCCAGTTGGTCTGGTGGGGGAGTAGAAATAGGCAGGTTTATGAATGAAATTGGCCATCAGTTATACATTTTGGAAGCTAGATATAAAGTACTTCAGATTCATTTTACATTTTTTCTACTTTTGTGTGTGTTTGACTTTGTTCACAATACATGTAGTCAGCAAATAGTGTAGGTGGGGTAGAACTGTAGGGAATCAACAAAGGCAAACTCACAGTACACAAAGCCTGTCCTTTTATCACAAATGCAAAATAGAAACTAACAGCAAAATTATGAACAAAAATAACAAATCAACCATCATAATTAAAAATAAATACAACCCTAGATAATGCCTCGATCAAAAGGGAAATCAGAATTACAAAATGAAATTACTAAATATGCACAAAGTTGTGACAATGACAACAGTACATGTCAAAACTTATGGAATTTGACCAGTCTATACTTAGAGGGAAAATAACAGCCTCAAAATGCTCTTACTACTTGAGAAGATAGGTTGAAAGCAAATGAAGCAAGCATTCAGTGAAATACATTTGAAGGAGAACAGCAAAGCATAGCTAAAAAAATAAGAGGGAGGACATGAAGAAAGCTAAAATGCAAATCGATGAATTAGAAAAGATAATCTAACCAAGAAGGCAGAAAGAAAGGCAAAAACACAAAATTAAAGGGATATAACTATAACTGTAGCTATTCACTGGATGATTTTTAGAAAAATATTAATTTCCAAAATTGACACAAGGCAGAGGATTACAATAGACCAATATGCGTACAAGAAAGTGAAAAGATATTTGAAGATCACACATCTCTTCCTACCCTCACTCCCAAAAGTGCCAGTATTAGATGGCTTTGGAGGTGATTCCCATCAAACTCTGAAGGAATAGAAAATTATTTTTTTACTTAAACTTCTATAGGATGCAGAAAAATATGAAACATTTCTCAACCCGTTTTCTTCATGGAATAACTCATATTCTAACAATTGATTAAGCTATTGAACTAAAGAAAAACTACAGGAACATCTCATTTATGAATATGGATGGAAACTCCAAAACAAAATAATGACAAATAAAGTTTAGCATGGTATATTAAAAGAATAATATACCATCATCAAATGGAGTTTATTCCAAGAATAAAAGTGAATCCAATATAAGAATATTTAAAAGTTTGATTCTTTTTATCCATAGATCAAAGGACAAAATGTGTTGTCATTGTGACAAAGTCCAAAAATGCATTTACTCTAATATTGATCCAAGCCATATCTATTATATTTCTTACAAAATTTGGAATTAGAAAGATAATGCCTTAGTATTGGAACATGTATGTAATAAACAGTGCATTTAATGGCAGTACACTTAAGTTGGAAGAGCAAATTAGATTTTCTCTCTCCTGCTCATACTTTAGCTTGAGGCCCATTAGTAGGAAAGCATGCTTGAACAGAGAAGCAATAGCTGCTTTATCAAGACTCCAGTGGGATTTTTTTAACATAACTAAATGATTTACCATTCATCAGGAAGAATAAACAGACAGGAATGGTCAAGAACATGTTGAACACTAGGGAGTTGGGATTTACTTTGGCATACATGAAAATACACTGTAACATGATAATAACTTATAATTGGGCCAATGTAGAAAGGAACGAAAATATTTAGAATATGATAATGATGGCATTTCAAATCATTAGATAAAAGGTGAATTATTTAATGTATTGTTTGTTACAGGAAAATTTATCAGGAATTATGAAGATAAGTATTTTGTGTATAGTAATATGCTGTGATAGTATGTTAAATATAATTGCTTAGTTTATAAGAAGACTACAGGAAGGGCTCAGCTTAATACTAGTTCATAGCACTATAATTATGTTTATGACAATATTCTAATTCACCTAAAGAATTTGACCAAGGTTATTTTCTTATAGCATTGTGGATTAATAATAATCAAAAAATTAAAAGTTAACATAGTAGCTCTCGGGTGCCAGGCAGTTTTCTAAGCTGTTGAGGTATAATAACTCATTTGATCATCACAACAATCATATGAGATAGGTAATATTATTATTCTCCATTCAATACACGAAGAACCTGAGGTGCAGAGTGGTTATGCAACTTTTCCACGGTCAGCAAGCTGGAGAGCTAAAATTGCAACTCAGGCAGTCTGGCTCCAGACTGTATATTACACGGCCTCTCCTCGCAATGAGCTACGTAAATCGGGAAGGTGTTCATTCTTCAGGACATGCCTTCTTACTTTTCTCAGGGACCCACAGGAGAACCTTAGAGAAACGCGTATCTTGCTCTTTCTGCCTTGCGCGCAGGTGCCTTCATGTCTCAGGTGGAGAGTGTCTGCCCTCCAGACTTCCGCTGGGATGTTAACGCACCGCTCAGCTCTGAGTTCCGCTTGCAGCTTTGCACGCGTCTGCAGCTGCTCGCAGGAGTAAGAGAGAGCCGGGATTAGAAGCGTCGACCTTGGGACGTGTGGCCAAGGAGGCACGACCTTCTGACCCCTTTGCTTTGTTCGCTCTCCCCAGGGACCTGATGCCCAGAACCCTGGAGGGGCAGATCACCATGGAGAAGACGCCCAGCTACTTCGTGACGCGGGAGGCGCCCGCGCGCATCTCGGCCATGTCCAAGGACACCAAGCTCATCGTGGTGGTGCGGGACCCGGTGACCAGAGCCATCTCGGACTACACGCAGACGCTGTCCAAGCGGCCCGACATCCCCACCTTCGAGAGCCTGACGTTCAAGAACAGGACGGCCGGCCTCATCGACACGTCGTGGAGCGCCATCCAGATCGGCATCTACGCCAAGCACCTGGAGCACTGGCTGCGCCACTTCCCCCTCGGCCAGATGCTCTTCGTGAGCGGCGAGCGGCTCATCAGCGACCCGGCCGGCGAGCTGGGCCGCGTGCAGGACTTCCTGGGCCTCAAGAGGATCATCACGGACAAGCACTTCTACTTCAACAAGACCAAGGGCTTCCCCTGCCTGAAGAAGGCCGAGGGCAGCAGCCGGCCGCACTGCCTGGGCAAGACCAAGGGCCGGCCGCACCCGGACATCGACGGCGAGGTGGTGCGCAGGCTGCGCGACTTCTACCGGCCCTTCAACCTCAAGTTCTACCAGATGACCGGGCACGACTTCGGCTGGGATGGATAGCGACATAATTTAAAAAGAAAAAAAAATATCAAAATATAATATATTTTTTTACCAATCGGTAGAGAAAAGACAGTTTAATATTTGTGCTCAAAGTATTTGTTTCAGTATTTTTTCCAATGAATGTTAAGAGATCATTCTTGGCCCCCTGTCCCATCTTAATGTATAACCAACACCAAACATTTGGATAAACAGAAAGGAAAAACTTCACTCATCTAAAATACTTTCAATTTTCACTTTTTATTTTGTGTTCTATATACCCAGTCATAAAGTATAAGCATCAGTTGCCATTAAAATATTTTAAGAAAATCCTGAGGGTAAACATCTCTCTGTTTAAATACAAGGCCCTGATAAAATTGGTATCTACCCTTATGTTTTTCTCCTTTTTTCCTGTGCCTCTTTTTCTTAAATCATTTCCCAGTTCCTAATATGGTAGGTACACCACTTCACAGTTTTCATAGTGCTTTCGAATACATCTTTTTGATCCTTAAACTACTATGTGATATAAGAGCATAGTAGGTAGAAATTATTATCCCCGTTTTACAGATAAGGAAAACTGAGTCTCAGGGAAGTTAAATGACTTATTTTAAGGCCAGATGGTGGACCCTGGACAAAACTCCATCTTCCACTTGTTTCCTCTTTCATGGCACTTTTCCCAGGAGAAAGGGAAGTAAGACATCTGCACCTTTAGACATGGTTAGCTAGTTTTTGAATGATCTGAAAAGGGGCAGAGAGGGTTTTCTGTTGCTTTCTAAGTTCTAGGTTACTCGCGACAGCATCCAGTCTCATTAAATGGTGTTCAAGGAAACCACTCAGACTTGGGCACCACCCAATCTTGGCTCTTGGCTGACTAAAGTATCCTGAGATAAGGAAATCTTGACTGATGGATGCTTGATTGAACTTGAGAGAAATTATTGGATTCTTGTATAAGGACAAGATGGGTAGCCACGCTAGGAATAGGGCAAGATAAGATACTCATATAAGTGTGAATCTCATTTTTCTTTAACTTTTTTCTAAGAAAGAAAATCTACCTTCTTTATATCTCACTTCCAACCTTGGAGTTAACACTAAAAAAAAAAAAAATTAACAATTTGTTTACAATGCTCTTATTTTTGATGGATGGAGGAATATCACTTTGTCACTTTATTTTTTCCCATTTCCCATTCATACCAGTTATAACCTAATGTTCATTCGTATTTGGAAAATATTCCAGGAAATGCAGATGTGAGTAAAATGGTGGCTTTTCCTCTTCTGCCTTCTGTTGCTTCCATCCCCTATTTAAATTGCTCAAATAAATCAATAGTTTATTAAGAGTATTTCTTTCCTCTCTGAGTGGGTATTAACAAGATTAGCATTAATGGGAATTAAATTGGTTTAGAGAGGAGCACATATGCACGAAATATATAAAACATTTATAATTAGTCTGTCAGCAACATTTTATTACAGGTTTATACCCAAGAGGAAAATGTCTCCTATCTCATGGAAGTTGTCTTTATCTGCCAAAATTTAAAGGACCAGACACTCTAAAATAATATTCTTTTTCATCTCAAATGTTGTCAATCAAAAGAAACTAAAGTTGCTCTAAAATATGCAATACAATTTTGCATTTGTCATTGATGCTGCGCCAGGTGATGTAAATAATTCTCAAGAAGCCTAACACAGGATTAAAATGAAGGGAAAAAATCTTAAGTTTTTAGATATTTTGTCATTGCTCCAAACCTTTAGATTTATCTGTTAATATTGCATTTACAGGAGTTCAGTAAATCCAGGTTGCCTTTTTCCAGTTGATTTCCTTCAAGTCTGTGTCCTCAATTTCCCAGTGTTTTGTTCTACTTGAATCATCACTAGCTGCAACAAGATACTCATTTTAAATGCTTCTCTTCGTTTCTCTTAACTCACTTTGCTTGTACTTCTGACTCTTTTGTAAGTGTTTGCTTGGCATTATGCAAAAGTGGCTTGCACAAAGAAGCAACTGCATTTAACAACTGCATTCAGCAACCTTAATCTTTTTGTGTGGAAGAAATAATAAAAGAGCAGAATTGAGTGCAAAGAATCTCTTCTTACACATAGGTATTTTGTTCAAATTATTTTAAAAATTAATGACTACAGAAACACTCCAGGAAAACCTTCAAACTTCTATGACTTCCTAAGAGTGTTAGAAGTAAAATGTATAAAGATGTAGAGTGAGTATTCTTTACGTTTCCCCCGGGGCCGGAATATTCATTCATTTCTGCCCCTATGTGGTGCTCACTCTTGCTGTGCATGGACTTGGCTTCACATTTATTTTGTCCGTTTAGCTACACCAAATAATAGGCTTTGATCTTGACTGGAACATCTTAGCCATCCTTCCTCTGAGCTGTCTGCTCCAAAGCCATGCCTACCAACCTGTTCACTTTCCTGAGAAAGCGATGTCTTTCAAACAGACTATCCAAAAAAGATCTACAGCTTCATTCTGAGCAGTTTGCTTCTGAGGCCACACCTACAGTGTATTCATTCTCCAAATAACTTAGACACTTTCAGGGGAAGTTAATTTTATTCTAATAATTGGAGATTAATAAGCTTCTAGAGCATGGATATTTATTATTCTAGAAGTATTCATTCCACTCTAATTTTCATATTTTCAAAGGATCTTCAAAGCTAGAATAAACCTTAATGGTAATTTGGATCACATCCCCATTTGGCACTTGAATCTTTTCTTTAGCTGGTTATGCAGGGGTTTAAAACATTGATGTGTCCGTAAATTCTTAACTCTTGATTTTGCAGTTGAGAAAGGGGATACATTTCTCCTAAACACCCTCATCATATTCTGCCAGCTGAGACCGGCTGAATCTCCTGTTCCCGATGAAGATATCTTCAGTCCAATGTATGAATAAACACACGTGTCTATAAAATAATAATGCTATATTCACGTAGACTACCCTTTCAAATGCATTATTTCACCTTAAACCAACAACAGCAGCTCTCCACTCTCCTTAGTTCCACCTTACAGATGAGGGAATGAAAGCTTAAGACAGTGGTTCTCAACAAAAGGTGATTTTGTGTCCCAGGGCTACATCCCGAGACATTTTTGGTTGTCTCAAAGGTTGAGTAGTGTGGGGTGCTCCTGGCATCTCGTGCTCCCGGCATCTTGTGCTGAACATTCTGGAATGCACAGGAGAGACCCCATAACACAGAATGATTCCAACCAAGATGTCAGTCGTGCTGAGGTTCCTGGCTTAAGAGAAAGTGAATCAGTCACAGCTAGTGTGTGTCTCACCTGGTCTAAAAGTCAGATTCTAATTAACGCTGGGCTGATCATTCTGTTAGTCACCGTTCTAGTTTTTCTCTGGCAAACCTTTCTTTCTCTCTCTAACGAGTGACTCCATGATAATAAACAGATCAACATTTAATGTCATGCTTTGCCAAGAGGAGTGCTAAAGGGAACTGAACTGGTTTTTACAACAGAGATAAAGGAGCAGCTTGTAACACATGGATAATTGCATTTCTGAGAAGCGGAATCAGTCAGCTTCAGGTGGAAAAATAACATTCCAATAAAACATTTCTAAAGGCTCTTTCAAGTTCAAGTCTTGCAATTTCAATTTGCCTCCACAACAGGGCTGTGACAGTATTTCTTGTCACCTGACAAAACCGAAGTGCCTAGAGAGAGAAGTAAATGTCTCCATTTCTGTTAAACAGCTCAATTCACATGGATGTACTATGGTTACAAAGAGCCTCAAGCTGCTGAGTAATAGCAAAGGAAAGCACATTCCTAGTGCCACAAATCCTAGAAACCCCAGAACTTTGTGCATAATTTTCATAGAATCAGAGAAGAGCTTATGGTTCCCAAACATAGGAAAAATGTTGCTGAGATTCAGTCCAATGCAAGCCTTGATGGAGAAATAAAAGACCCTCCTTATTGTCCTATCGTGTCCCATAATGACTGAAGAAAAGCGGCTCTTTAAAAACCCAAACCCCAAGCCCTGTGGCAGAAGCATCAATGTTATCATAGCATTCGTGGTCCTTGAAATATCTTCACCAACGTGCAAACAGATTTGCATTGAGTCTCAATTATATGGAAGAAGAACATGAACAGGAAAATTATAAACCCGTTTGTTACATAATGGAATGTTGGAATGACAGGCCTTCCCTTTAAAATTTGAAAAAGGATGAATTTGGGAAAATTATGAGGCAGTGTATCATTATACACAAAGTAATAAAATAATGGATTTTAGTTATGCCAGGAGGAAATAAAACTGAAGATAGAAATTGCTAATATATGGATCCACTGTGGGATATTAGGAAGTGTTAGTATGTTTCAGGCTATAACCCTAATTTTTTTAGTTCAGTTTCCAACTGTCGGTTGTGTTCTTTTAATAGCTATATCTCAGCAACATACTCTCCTCTAGTTTTACTGTCAAAAGACAACAATAAATAGGGAACACGTTCTGTCGTGAGTCCTTTTCATCCCCAAACGTCTGAGTATGATATTTTGGGTGAATTTGGAGGATGAGATAGGGTGAGATACAGTGTCCTTCATTAGCTCTGCCTGGATGGTGCATGACTATGCTAGATTGCTAGCTTGGTGCTAATTTTGATTATTCCTAAGAGGCCTTTTGGCTGTCTGCTTCACACATCAGCCAGCTATGGTCCATGTGCTTCCAGGTGTCTTCCAAAGCCGCTTTATAGTAAACCTGCACTGTTTCCTACCCCTGGGGGCTGGCCTTCATTGCGAATAGGAGTCATGTGTCTTCCCCCCTCACCTCCCAGATTCATGCTTTCCTCACTTTTTGGTGCCCTCTGCCATGTCCTCCTGTGACCAGTGACCTTTGGTATCCCAGCCTCTGCTGGTCTGAGTTGTTTCCTCTCTTCAAATGCACCGTACTTGGTGATGTCCGTTTCCTGCTTCGGATTCCTGGGGAAAACCTTGCAGTTCGCCTAGGGCAACGGCTCTCAGCTTCGGGCCTAGGAGAAGCAGTCTGAGTATCTGATGAGATACCTGGAGAGATGAAGGTCAGTAGGTTTAACTTTCCCCAAGAGTAC